TCTTTAAAGAACTTCTTTTAACATTTCTTGCAAGGTAGGTGTACTGGCAACAAATTCCTTCAATTTTTATTTGTCTGAGAAAGTTGATATTTCTCTTTTACTTTTGAAGAATAATTTTTGAGGGTATAGAATTCGAGGTTGGTGGGTGTTTTTTTTAAATTTATCTCAACACTTTAAGTATTTCACTCCATTGTCTTCTTGCTTGCGTGGGTTTTGAAGAGAAAGCAGATGTAATTCTTTCTTACCTTTGTTCCTCTGTAGGTGACCTGTTTTTTCCCCTGGTTTCTTTAAGAATTTTTTCTTATCTTTGATTTTTCTGTAATTTGATTTATAATATGTCTAGGTATAGTTGTGTTTTTTTTTTGGCATTTATCCTACTTACTGTTCTCCGAGCTTCCTGGATCTGTGGTTTGGTGTCTGACATTAATTTGCTGAATTTCTCAGTATTTTATCAAATACTTCTGTTGTTACTTTCTCTATTCCCATTATGGTTTTGTTACACCCTTTGTAGTTGTCCCACAGTCCTTGAATTTTTTTTTTGCAGTCTCTGTTCTCTTTGCTTTTCAGTTTTTGAATTCATGTTCTACTGGAAGGAGAAATTTACATTCTTTTGGAGGGAGATAAACAAACAAAATAAAAAAATACAACAGAGTGTTTCAGAAGGTGGCATTATGGAGAACAATAAAGCAAGGAAGGGAAAGAATTATGAGATTTGAGGGGTGTGTGTGTGTGTGTGTGTGTGTGTGTGTAGGTTGTTATAAACAGGGTCGCCAGATGAAGGGATTGCTGAGAAGGTGACACCTGAAGGAGGTGATGGAGTGAGCCATGTTCTAGGTAGAGGAAAGAGCCAGAGCAAAGGCCCTGTGGTGGCTTGGTGCATTAATTGACCGGTGGCCAATGTCTCTGAAGGGAAGTGTGGGAGGTAAAGAGTAAAAGGGCAGGTGGTCAGAGAGGGTAGAGGAGTCTGGGAGGGGGGCTGGAAAGGGGTAGCATTAGATGAGCCCACGTGGGCATGTTTGAGGAACAGTGAGCGGGGCAGTGACAATGAGGCAGAGCACCCTCAGGGGGAAGAAGGGGCGGTGAAAGCAAAGAGGCAGGCAGGAGCTCAGGGATGTACCGCCTTGCAGACCATGCCAAGGACTTTGGATTTTATTCAAAATGTGATGGGAAGCCTTTGGAAGGCTTTGATGGCGAAGTGATGTAATCAGAGTGACTGTTTGACAGAATCTCTCTGGCCACTGTATTGAGAAGAGCCTGAAAGGGATCCAGGGTGGAAACAGGGAGCCCGGTCTGGAGGCTGCTGCAATGGTTTGGCACTAGAGAGTGATGGCATGGCCCAGAGCTATGGCAGGGAGCAGGGGGCGGGGGCAGGGGCAAGAAGTACAGATTCCAGATCTATTTCGAAGGCAGAGCCCCTAGGAACCGCTGACAGCCCATTCATTTCAGCTCTGTCATAGCCAAAGTTTGGAAGCAACCTGAACGTTCAGCTGTGGGAGACCAGCGATTACTATGTACAACAGGACATGACGTAGGCTTACAAAAGAACGAGGAAGCTCCTTGTGCATTAATACAGAATGGTTTTCAAGATACGCAGTATGAAATGAGGAAAGTGAAGTGCAGATCAGTGTATGTGGTATATTATTATTTAGGGCAAAATAAAACAAAGCAAAACAAACACACCCGCACGTTCACAGTACTTAGATATTCTGTTCTGGTTTCTTTTTCTTTTTTCCAGTCTTTGTTCTCTTTGCTTTTTAGTTTCCAAATTTATGTTCTATTGGAGGGAGGCAAACAATAAATAAAATAAATAGATACAATATATTGTTTCAGAGGTGGTAAGTGTCATGGAGAACAATGAAGCAGAGAGAGGGATGGATTGTGAGAGCTGAGTGTGTGGTCTCTACAGGCACTGTGAGACATCTTTATGAAAGAGAGACAGTAAGGTCAAGAATACCCAGGTGTCACTGACAGGAGAGCCAAATGCCTGGAATTAGGGCTTTGGTCCATGAGCACAGCATGGGGTGGGTCACTACTCCTTGCACATTGGGATGGCAAACCATTGACATTTTCTTTCTTTTTTTTTTTTTATTATTATTATTTTTTTTTTTATCCTCACCCGAGAATATTTTTCCATTTTTTGTACAGATAGAGTGGGAGGGAGAGAGAGAAAGGGAGAGAGAGAGAGAAACATCGACGTGAAAGGGACACATCGAGTGGCTGCCACCCGCACGACCAACCAGGGCCGGGGACAAACTGCAACCGAGGTACGTGCCCTTAGCGGGAACCGAACCCGGGTCTCTCGGGACCGCAGGCCGACGCTCTAACCGCTGAGCCAAACCGGCCAGGGCTGACATTTTCATACTCTCTCTTTCAGGTAACGAGAAACAGCCAGAGCTGCCTCTCCAAGTCCCCCAGTTCAGCCTCCCTTGCAGATCTTCACGCCTCTGGCTTCCATGCCCTCTAGGAAACAAAACAAACTCCACCAAGCGTGTTTACTCCATACCTTTTTATTGAACTCCGCAGACTTCATTAAGGGACCGTTTGCTTAGAAATTCTTAAACATTTGGACGTATTTTACAAGACAGGACAGCAGCTGGAGGTCACAATTTCATCTCATCACATGCATAAAAAGACACTGCATTTTTTTTGTTGATTGGTTTCCTTGTCAGTGTGTGGGTCTGTGTCTGTGTAATGCTCACTTTCACCTTCACAGGAAGGACTAGAGATGTCAACTGACCAGAGATGAACAGGATCCAAGAACACGACCCCGAGAAAAGAGCAGCTAAGGATATTGGTCATTTATGGCTAATGTGATTGGGTTGGCCCACATCATGGGTGGGGCGATCAGAATGGCTTTGCCGGCATAAAAGCCTCAACTTCACACCTCAGTTCCTGGGAGAGACAGAGGGCCTTAGCTAATGGGATGGGGCACATGCTACCATGGGGGTGTTGGGGCTCAGAACGAAGGAAGACCTTTGGCTGTAAAAGCTGGACGACAGGCTGGCCCTCTTTCCAGCTGGACTCTCATGGCTCAGGGAATGCGATCCAGTTTCCAGATATCAGCTCCCACACTCCTGCCCCCAGCAAGTTCCGGACCAGGGGAAACCCCTACTTCGGATTCTTGGTTTTGCCCATTGGCAAACCACTCTGTGATCTCTCCATGGGCTATGTGTGAGCTGAGCTAGAACTCGAGGCTGAAAATGCAGAGCAGAATAGGAAGGGAGCTGCGGCTGCCCCATGAGGCCCCTGGAAGTGTAGTTCTGAGAAGGCCATGGTCCTTAGGGCAGACAAGTGTCACATTTGGACATCATCTTGGTCCCCAATTGAGTCAAAGAGCAGATGGTGTTGGTGGGACGGTTATGGGCTTTAAAGGGAGGGGCCCCCCATTTCTCCTTCCTTCCCAGTTAGCAATATCTCAAGCCAGGTAAGAACAAATAAATTCCTCTATTTACTCACACATTCACTTGTCATTCATTCACTCAGAAGTCAATCATTTACACATTCACTCACTCGAAAACACAGGTTGGGTGACCACTATGTGCCAAGGGCATACATTGGGGGGTAACCCTGAGTTCCTGGTACAGAAAGTGGTGTTCCCAGTCTTTGACCTTGGGTTAAAGCCAGGGATGGTCTGGAGAGCAAAGGGCCAGCTGCCAGCCCAGCAGCTGCTGATTTTCCTCTTCCCCACCCACCAGGCACATGGAGCTCAGAGGTCAAGGTCATGTAAGAGAGAGAGCCCAAAGCCCCAGGGAAGACCAGGGGCCATGAGCCAAGCCACAGAGAAGTCCAAACCTCTGGGGCATCTTCTGTGCTTCCTTCCTTTTCCAAACCTGGATTAGCTCAGGGAGGCCAGCAGGGTGGGGTGATCAATACATGACCTTTGAGAGCATCCTAATGGGACAGAATTGGGAGTTTCCTTCATTTTTCAGGATTGTCATGTCATTGCAGACACTAACCTGAGCTTTTCCTTCAGGACAGAGCCTCACACGGGGATCTTGGAAGTTGGCAGCTGCTCGGTCTACCCATGCAAACATATCCTGTTCTACCTTGTGATAAAACAACCCAAGACTGCCTGGATTTGAAGTCACCCTGAGCATGAAGCTCCACCTCCTCCAAACCCACCACACACAGATTAAGGGGGACTTTAAAACCCTTTTGTCAAATGCTCTGCTTGAGGAATTCAGGATCCAGATGTTGGGAAGGGGCTACAGATGTGGGAGATGGCATTCTGCCTGGAGGCAGTCGAAGACTTGTCTTGCTATAAAACTGGATTACAGCTGCCTCTCTCTTTTGGCCCTTCTGGATTTAACTTCATTGGGTAGGGACTTTCAAGGATTTGAATGAACTTGACTTGGGGTGGTGAACACACAACACAATATACAGATGATGTATTATGGAATTGTACACCTAAAACCTATGTAATTCTATTAACCAATGTCACCCCAGTGAATTCAATAAAAAACAAACAAACAACAAACAAAACACCCCAAAGGATTTGAATGGGATTTCCTGTTTTATTTGCCAGAAAAAAAGAGCCCTTTTGGAACTATTCCTTCAGCACAGAGCCTCACAGGGGATCCTTAGGCAGCTGCCTAGTGGGAAAAGATAATTGTGTCTTTTGTACAGAAGCCCTCAGGCCTATGAGGGCACTGGGTCTGGGCAGAGGGCTTCAGCACCGCGAGACAGCCAGTGAGAGAGGGGATTGCTTTTTTTGTTGGCCTGGGGAGGGTGGCATGAGCATCATCCCATCCCCTGCGGTTCCTGTTAGGGCACCACTAGAGGTGGTTGGATCGGTGATCAACAGGGTCGTTGAAATTGTCCAAGATATGAAGTGCAGGGAACAGGGTATCCTGTGCCGCCTTCCCAACCTAGAACTCCCTTGGAAAGCTCCAAATTCTAACATTTGAGTTCCTGGTAACATCACTCCTTGCCTTTGCCTTGGTGACTTGAGTCTGTACCCTGAGGTTCAAACCACCTTCACACACACACACACACACACACACACACACACACACACACACACCAGGAAACAGAAAGAGGGGGAAAGAGAATTTCCCTGGTTGTTCAGTTCAGTTGCTATGCAATGGTAGGGTCCCTCTGCAATATTCGTTTTGTGCATTATCCAGCCTCTCTTTAAACACGTGTGGCCTCACGGAGATCATTACCCAGCATGGCATCGAGAGCCATGGTTAGGCAGCCCCACCTACTAGAAGTGCTTTTCTTAATTTGAGCTGAAATTGATCTCCCTGTCCCTCTCATGCCAGAGGAGTGTTCAGAGACCCACCTGCAGCCATCCTGCAGGTAGGTGATTTCTTCTCAGGGTGGACTGCCCCACTCCACCCCATCCTGGCCAGCCTTTAGGTCTTTTCAGAATCTTTGTGGGGAGGACCGAAGAGTTAGAGTTAGAGGTGAAGGTGAGGGGCTGCTCCATCAACAGAGCCCCTCCCAAATCCATTTCTTCAAGTTGGAATTGTGGGGAGTTCCCAAGAAATTCCAGGCTAAGACGATATCAGGGACAGTGCAAGGATAACCAAACTATACAACCTCTTTCTAGTTCAAAACAGCCACAGGCGAGGTTGTTTGCTTCTCTGGGCATCAAACCTAGCAAATTACTGGGGGGAAAAAAAACACCTTTTATTTTTGTTCTTGTGCAGAAGTTTTAACAAATCTTGCCTGTTCTGTTTGGCTCTGGTACAAACCAGATTACCAGGAATTTGTGGGGTGGGAAAACTTTGATTAGGGTCTTAGTCCCGAATAATAGATTCATACTCGGATTGGTTTCCTCTTGGGGTTGTTCCAAGGGAGGTGGTTCACTGCTGTCGGGGGGTCCTGACGTGGCTCAGATCTCTGATTTGGGCAGAGGTGGGAGCCCTAAAGCTGGCAGTGAGGGAGGTGGGATATGAAAACCTAAATGAATGCAAGTTGGAGATGATCTGAGCTTTCTTCATCTTCCTGCATGAGCTGATGGATGGAAAAACCACTTTCTGCTGAAGATCCTGCTTTGTGAGCTGGAAACCACCTGGTGGAATTGATGATCAGGACAGGACAGAAACTCCCTGAGGCCCAGAGTAGTGGAAGCTGCCTTTGCCACGAATCCCTGGCTCTGTGAAGCCAGCAGCTGCCAAGGGAAGGGGAGATGAGATGGCAGATTCTGGGTACATGTCTCCTTAGGGCTTGGCTGCAGGCCTGGCCGGCCACTGTTTCTTGGTGAGGTTGCTGGCAAGGGAGTGACAAGAAGAACTGATAAAACGTTGATGAGATCTGAAGCCCAGCATGTTCTCCAAGGTTCTCAGGAACCAGAAAACGCTCCGTCTTTCAGATCCAATTGGTGTTATAGGGAGCAGAGCACTGGACGTGGCCACAGGCCAGCCAGGAGGAGCTTGGGTATGTCCTGGATCTCAGAGTTGCCAGTGGGATGTTTGACTGCACGAGATTTTTGGTTCCAGAATCTTTGGGGATGAGAAAAGTCAGCCCCCTCAGCTCTCCACAGGTGTGTGGGAATAAGTGAAACCAGCCCACATTCCATCCTCTGCTCTCAAGCCTGCACCTGTGCCCTGGATTCTTAAGAACAGCGACTAAGAGAAACACAGACAGAGTGAAGAAAGTAACAGTGTCAACAGACTCCAGGTCTAGTGTCAGGAAATGCCTGCATGAGGAAGGCAGACCCTAAAGTCTTTTCCCACTCCCCAGAAATTCAGAATCAAAAGGAAGAAAAAAAAAAAAAAGCAGCCCAAGGGACAGTGGGAGTAAATGAGAACCACCGGAAAATATCAGCTATGATACTGACCAGCAACAAACCTCCTGAAATGTTATTCTGTATCACAAAAGAAATGAGACTCAACGGCCCTATTGTAAATTTGCTGAAAATACATATATGTATCTGGACAGAAAAATAGACTACTCTGAGATGCATGAACAACCTATGATGTAGTCACACATCAGAGTCTTCTAGAGCCAGAAAAATGGCATCAGAAAATGCACAGGTAACTCTTACTTCTGGGTGTAGTCAGGGCTGCTTCGGGTGACTCTGGCTGATTGAAAGCATTTGGATGCTGTCACATAAGCAGTGAGAGGCAAGAAAAGTTCAGCTCAGGGCCGGAGGCTCTCCACTGTCCTGCTGGGGGACACAGGTGAGCCCCCTTCTTTCTCCTGCCAGCTTCCTAGCCACAGAAAAAGTCCTTTTCCAAAAGAATCTTAGAGGTGTTTCAACGCACTCCCGTTTGATTCAAAGTTCCTTTGGAGACTGAAGCCTGGGACCAGCTGGCAGAGAAATAAGGAAAGGAGAGGGCTAGACACCTGGCTTTAGTGACCCTTCTCTGGTGAATTTTAAATTCCCCCTTGCCCGTGGATTAGACACTCCAGCCGTGACTTGGAGCAAGACAGAGATATACAATAGTTACAAACATCAACAATACATTACAGCTCTACAGAAGAGAATACTGCTGTGTGTGTTTTTTTTCTCCTTAGAAAGGTGGATCTTATTAGGAGGAAGGGCAGAGGCGAGGCTACGGTTGCTAAGACACGGTGGACGAGAGGTCTGGAATCAGTTTGCAGAGGTTTGTATTGCCAGCGATTCTCAGGGACAAGCCAGGCGGGTGGAAAGGAAATGGACTCAGGATTTGCTGTTCCCCATCTCACTCCTCGTTCTTGACCCCCAGTGTTTTTAGAGAAGGGGCTTCGCAGGAACAAATGTTCTCCCCCCCCTCCCCCCACTAAGTGTGCTTAAGATAAAATTCCTAAAGAAGGCACCGAGAAATCTACTGCACCGAAGCCCTGTTGTTCTTCTTTACCAAAGAGAAAAAGGTGAAGAAACGGACTCCTCCAGAGCGTGCCCACCTCTCTCCGCTGGTCACAGACTCTCCCCCTGTGTGACTGGGATGCAAAGCGACCTGGTCCCTAGCCCTTTCTGATAATGGTGGAAGTTGGAAGTCAAGTTCAGCTGGGTTCTGGATGAGTCTCACTGAGTTTGCCAAAGGGACCAGGCATCCGTCCTCCTCCAGCCCCTAGTTTCGTTTCTTTGGGTTGACTTGTTTTTTCCCACGCTTTCATTGGTTCAGGAATGGGTGGGACATGGACCACCAAGGTAAAGTGGTATCTGCTTCGAAACCATCGCTTTCCTCTCCTCCATCAACACCCATTGGTCAAGGTTAGCTTCTCAGTGGAGACTCGTGGGTAGATTTCCTAGTGCATGTACACAGGTACAGGTAGAATGTACACGTATGAAAAATCTCAGTATGTTCCTTTTTGGCAGGTGGGGGCCTGGGTAAACTCACAGCACTCTATTTTGCATCGGGCACAGGGTAAAAGCTATATTCCCATGATACATATACAGGAAAAAGAAAAAACCAAAATAGAACACAATACTTTCTAAGCATAGTATATGCTGAGTTTCAATTATTCTGTTTCTATAAGAACTCTATAGGATCCGGCTATTCAGCCTGAAAAGGTAGGTTCTTCATGATACTTCTGAATTCGTCCTTCAAAAGTGACTCGATAAAATGCTACTTTTAGGTCAGACAAAACACACGAGGAAGGAAGGGCCAGGTCCTGCGTGACCACACAAGGCAGAAAGGGCCTTTGGTTACAAGGAGAGTTGCACCAATTGGTTATTAGTTTAAAAAAGAAAAGAAAAGAAAAGAAAGAATTTCCAATCTGTACACTTCTTGTCTGCTTCAACCAACAGATGAAATGCTTTGATTTGAAGAAGGGGTGGTAAGTTCCTTCTCACTATATATGGCTATATTTAAACATGTTCGCTTTCCTGATATGTAAAATAGACTATATCATTATTATTAATTTTTACAGATAGCATCAGCTCTAAAAATATCTGAATCAGAAATCACAACTATTTACTTTTATCAAAAAGCATTTGTTTGTTTTCCCTGAATTTTCACATTTGTGCTGATGGCGGACGTAAATGGTGATGAAAACAAAGAGACACATGAGATGGTCCAGGGAGGACTTTCCGCGGCCATTCCTCGTGGGCCCCGGCCCACGCTGCAGAGCCCCCGGGGAGCACTGCTGCTTCCTCTCTCTGGTGTGTCACTAGCACAGGATGACCTCATTCTTAAGTCCCTTTGCATTTGCTTCCAGAGTACTCTGAAGATACTTGGGCGGAGTCAAGATACTCCGGCACACATTTTCTTTGTTAATGCAGCAAAGGACAGGACCGTCCCCACTTGGAGGGATCCACAGTCCTTGGAGAGGCCGAGAAGCAATGTGAATCAGGTGCATATTCAGCAAAGAACACACATTTCTGAGGGGGGTGGAATGACCCCATGTCATCATACCTGGGACAGGTGGCCCGACCTCATGCCATTGTGTGGAGGGCAGGCAGAACGACTCTGTGATATCTGTGTACTGACAGGTGGATCATGCCATTGTAGTAACAGGCAGATCAATCACATTGTACGAAGGACAGCTGAACAACACCATGTTTTGTTCCACCAGGAAGACGTGTGCCTGTCACAATTGATGACTGACAGATATACACTATTGTATTTGGGACATCATCCATCAAAATTGTATTAGTCCATTGCACTAAAAACAGGCAGATCAATAACATGTCATCTTTACTGACAGATGGGCCAACAGCATGGCATCATGCTAACCAGCGGCTCAACCCAATGTTACCGAACCGAGGGACAGCCAGCAACACCATGCTGTCAGGCTGAAATCAAGCAGACCAATGCCGGTGCACCAAATTGGGACAGGAACACCAACACCAAGTAGTGTACTAGAACCGCTCACGATGCACACAAATACTTATTGCTTTTTGTCTGCATGGGCTGCATTGATGGCTACAGAAAGGAGAGCTGAGCTTTTAACACAGACTGTGACACTGAGAACACACCAACAGTTGGTTGACAAGAGAACAGAGTAAAACACCCAATGCCCAACCATCTACTGTCTTCTTCTGAGATGCGCCTGTTTCCTGTACACTTGACTTTATGAGAGGCCACACTCAAGGGCCAGGCACCCTTCCTTGCCAGGGGGCTTAAGGGAAGCTTCAGAGGGACAGGGAAGGCGCCCACAGACTTTGACATGGCAGACAGCAATACCAGCACAATATCACCCACTGTGGCCAGACACAGGCACGTAGCAACAACCTGACTACAGTCCCAAAAAGTGGCCCATGGGAAATAGTGCTTCTTTTAAAGTGCAAGATGGTGACACTGTCCCTGGTAGAACCTATTTTTGAAAAACATAAAGTGCTTTTTATTTTAACTTTTTAAAAAACTTGAATACCACAGGAAACAAAAAAAGAATTTCTATTATAGTAGATGCTTTCCCTGCCACAGCAGGAAGTATTCAAAAGTCTGAACAGGGCGTTTCAATTGGGGATTTTTTCTCCTTTCGTTTTTGCAGGTAAAAAAAAATCTGATTTTATTCTGTTCTTCAGTAGCATAGTCTCTTTGAATACGCTATTTCTTTTGCATGTTTGACACTTGCATATCTTTTGAGCCTACACTAGTGATGCACAGAAAACGTTTTCCCTCTACAACCCTAAAGCAACGTTCAGAGTTCACACTGTTGGCTGAGTGCCCGCCTTCAGAACCCTTCCCAGATCGCCAGGGGGCAATTAGAATTGAGTACAAGTGGTACAACTCACCCTGATAGTATCTCAAAATAACATCTCAGGTACTACGAAATACTGAAGTTAATGGAGACTTTTGAGTAGGATTTTGCGCCGGGTTTGTGGCTTATAGCGCAGAGATTTCTCCAAGACACAAGCATTCCCTGGACGCCTTCTAACAGTGGGATCCATCCAGAAGGTGATAGACAGGAGTTTCTAGAGGTGGCCAGGCAACACCCAAACCAAATTGGTCAACTCACTTTTTCAATACCAGCCACGTGTTCCAGCATCCTTCTCCGGCCGAAGCCAGGAGGGATCAGAGGTGTGTGATGGAGAGTCATGAGAGAAGAATGGGGAACAGGTGGCCTTGGCTATGTTTAGAATGTGGTAGTGGTGGCTGTGAGTTCTGCTCATGTCATCTCCCAAAGAGGGCAGTGGAGTTGTTACAAGGAGGCGCCATGTCCTATGGCTTCGCCAATTTCATTCCAATGGCCCTGCCATGGCTCTCAAGGTCATAGGGAGCTTTCTCTGGAGTCTCTCTTCTTTCTAGGGGCTTTGCAGAGCCTTTCTGCTTTAGAGTTCATGCAGAAAAGCTCTGTGGCAGGTGAGCTGAGCAGCACTCCTCTTTGGACCTCACCAGAGTCTCTCCTCCACATGGGGTAGTTCAGATGCTCTGATCCCGTGTGCTTCCATGGGCTCCTCCCCCTGGCAACACCCGGACATCGGGGGAGATATGGTTCTCGAGTTTGCACTTTTCCTGACCACTGGGGGCTTTTCCAGTCAATGCTTCTGTAGAGTAAATACAGTTATGCCTTAAGAACTTGGGAGAGGTGGGTAAGGGGGAACTTTCAAAGTGGTTCTTCTCTGCTCTTGTTCCGACACTGAACTTGGGACTGGTGCTCCCAGGGAGGCTCTTGGGAGGGCTGGAGTCCACACTGTACAGCACCTGCCCCTCATCATCTGTGTCTGCATCAATGTACTGGTGGATACCTGCTTCGAAGTTGAATGCTATTGCTGTGTGTTTCTCAGGTGACCGGGGGGGTGTCCTAGCACTTGCTGTGGTGTAGATGGAGGACTCTGGACTCAGCACAGACCTGTCCAAGAGTGTGGCACACTCCAGTCCAGCGACAGCAGCTGCAGCAGCCCCCCGGTTCCTGAGAGGGTCATGGTACATCCCCAGAATGGGGACTAATGGACTGGGTTCACCCTCCATGAAGTTGACTTTAAGTGCTCGGAGCTTCAAGGGGTTGTTGGTCTTCATGGAACTCTTGGGACTCTCAATGAGGAAAGTAGAGTGATGACTGGCAACAGGGGTAGGGTTGGCTTCCACAAACCTACAGCCACTGGTGCCCAGAGCTCCTCGCCAGCCCATCTCTGGGGCCATGCTGCCCCCAGTCTTGCTAGGGAGTGATGCCAAAGGGCTGTGGGAGAATCTGGTGGTCTCAGGGAAGTCTGTGGCACAGCTAATGAAGCTATCAATGCTCGACATGCTTCTCATGTCTATGACCCCTTCTGTGTGAGTGGGCAGAGGGGCTATGGGGCTGGGGATACTCTCCATTTCAAGTTCTTCCTTTGGTTTGCTTTGTGTTGCCGATTCCTTGGTATTGAGAATGGGCTGAGATTGGGTCTTTGCCATCTTATTGTACATGTCTTCCAACTGCTGGACATTCAGGTGCTGAGGACTAGAAGATGATCTGGCCTTTTCAGGGGATCCCTGCTCCTTGGTTTCAAAGGACTTGCTTGAGCTGGTTTCGGACAGTGTCCTCTTTGTCCATTTCCATTTGTTGGGTGACAAGTGGTTATCTTGTATTTTGTCTTTCTTACCCATATTCTCTCCATTTTTCTCCACCACAATGTCCATCATCTCAATGCTTCGGGCAAAAGCATCTTTCATGTTCATGGACACAATGCTGCCATTCCTCTTGGCTCTCTCCAGAGCCTCTCTCCGCTTGATTGCTTTCTCCTGCCTCTTCTGCTCCTTATAGAACTCAGAGAAGTTGTTGACAATGATGGGGATGGGAAGAGCAATCACCAGGACCCCTGCGATGCAGCAGAGCCCCCCCACAATTTTCCCCAGGAGAGTTTTGGGGTAGATGTCTCCATACCCAACAGTAGTCATGGTAATAGTAGCCCACCAGAAAGAGGCTGGGATGCTTTTGAACTTGGTGTCCTCCTCATCCTTCTCTGCAAAGAAGACAAGGCTAGAGAAGATCATGATGCCCATGGCAAGAAAGAGAATGAGCAAGCCCAGCTCATTGTAGCTCCGCCGCAGGGTGAAGCCCAAAGACTGAAGGCCAGTGGAGTGGCGTGCGAGCTTAAGGATGCGGAGAATACGCATTATGCGGAAGATCTGGACCACACGGCGAACATTCTGGAACTGCAGCACACTCTTGTTGGATTCGGTGAGGAAGATGGTAACATAGTATGGCAGGATAGCCAACAAGTCAATGGCGTTGAGTGGGCCCTTGAAGAACTTCCACTTCTTGGGTGAGGAGAGGAACCGCAGCAGGTATTCCATGGTGAACCATGCAATGCATACAGCCTCCACGTGGGCCAGCTGGGGGTTGTCTGTGCTCTGGCCAAACTCATCAAGGCTCTGTAGTTCAGGCAGCGTGTTGAGTGACAGGGCGATGGTAGAGAGGACGATGAACATTATGGAAATTATGGCAAGGATCTGTGAGGAGAAGAGAGTGGGATTTAGTTATCAACCACCAGCAGGGTGATCACTCTAATACTCTGAGTCTATAGGGTGCTCTTCAACATTCAGGAGCATTTGACATCTCACTAGTCACTTAATGACTGGTTGGTTAAGCTAAAAAGATGATTTATTCAAATCCATTTATTGTACAGATGTGGAAACCAGTTCAAAGAATTGAAATGTTTTAAAGCTAATCATCTAGCCCAGGGGTTGGTAATTTTTTTCAATGAAGGGCCAGATAATAAATATTTTAGGCTTTGAAATCCATGAATTATTTGTTGCAACTACTCAACACTGCAGTTGTAGCATGGAAGAAGCCTTAGATAATTAAATAAATGAATGTGTGTAGATGTGTTTCAATAAAACTACTGACAAAAAGAGGCAGTGAACTGAATTTGACTTGCAGATCATAGTCTGCTGACTCATGAGCTAGGCCAGTGGTTCATCACTACTATGGGGTGGGGACTGCTTTCAAGACATGATACTAATTATAGTAACAATAGACACGATATTAATGATAATAACAATGGTTACCCCTTACTGAGTGTTCATTGTATACTGGGCACTGTGTTTAACACTTTCCATGCAATATCTTATTTTATTCTTTCTTTTAAAATTAAAACAATTTTTTTTCTTTATTGATGTTAGAGAGAGAAAAAGGAAAAGGGAGAGAGAAATAGAAACATTGATGAGCGAGAACATCGATTGGCTGCCTCTCACATGCCCCCCACTGGGGATTGGGCCTACAACCTGGGCATGTGCCCTGACTGGAAATTGAACTGGTGACCTCTTGGTGCATGGGTCAACACTCCACCACTGAGCCACACCACCTGGGTACCTTATTTCATTCTTATAAAATCCTCCAAAAGTATTATATCTCCAGTGCCAGGATTTTCACCTGGGTCAGTGTGACCCCAGAGCATGAACGCTTTAGGCTTTGTTAGAAATCCATACAAGCTTTTGGCCCTTTTGCTACACACAATCACCTAATTTTACAGGTGATTCATAGGTAGACATGGACATCCTGGATCCATGTTATTAACTTCCCACAGGGACAATGGACTTTTTGGGGCTAAGAGTCATGGCTAACTACCTTTTTTTTAAAAAAAAAAAAATTTTTTTCTTTATTGATTTTTAGAGAGAGAGGAAGGGAGAGGGAGAGAGAGACAGAAACATCGATGAGAGAGAACATCGATTGGCCGCCTCCTGCTTACCACGCCATACTCACTGGGGATTTGGCCCACAACCCAGGCAAGTGCCCTGACCAGGAATTGAACTGGTGACCTCTTGGTGCATGGGTCAATGCTCAATCACTGAGCCACATTGGCTAGGTGAGGCTTAACTACCTTTGAGTCCCCTGGATCAGGAAGAGGGTTTGATCCAGACAAAGAGCTTATTTATTGAAATTAGTGGAACCTAGGCCACTCTGTAGCTTATGCAGAAATGCAAGCAGATGTAATAAATTGCTCTGAGAATCTTTTTCAAAACTACAAATCCAATTACATTATCCCATCATTCCCCTGCTTAATACATTTCTAGGACTTTTCAAAACCAAATCCAAGCCCCTGGGATTCCAAAATGGTGGCTAAGCAAATGGAAGCTACACAGACCATCTCCCAGGACCAAACTGGAATTACAACTAAAATAAAGACAAATCGTCAGGAAAAACCAATAGAAAAGCAGATGGAAAGAACCCATATAATCACCATCAGAAAGAGGACACAAAATTGAGCCTGGTAGGAACTGCGGAGGCATGAGAGGGTGGGCTGGGAGCCCACGGACAGCAGCTGTTTTAGCTGTGAGCAGCTCCCTTGGGGTTAAAATCCCAAGCTGGCTCCACAGCCCAAAGGCCAGGACAGAGCACCAAATTAGCTACAGCTACTCACCTTGGGCTCTGGCAGAGAGAGGGCAGACTGGACTGGAACTGTGTGGGGAGACTCAGGATTTGAAGGGCACAGGGAGTTTTGTGATGAATCACTCTCTCATAGGACAGTAGCCATCTTACTCAAGGAGCCCCAGAAACCTGGGGAGAAGCAACAGCCCCTCCCTCAGGAATTTAACACCACCCTGCCAGGCCAGAGAAATGCAAATTGAGGCTCATTAATAGCCAGCAAGCATTTGCCCCACCCTCTGGAAATCCTCTTACCGTGAACACCTGAGGGATTTTTTTCATTCAGTTCAGAGATACAATCCAAGGCCCATCAAGTAACTAAGACTAATAGCCTCCATGCAAAAAGCTAGAGGATAACTGAACCTTTCCTGAGCTTGCAAATCTACCCAGAAAAGTAAGACTTGATGGTTGTGTTTAATGTGGGTCCTCCCATACTCATCCAAACCCAGTGGGAGCCACAATCGTGGAACACCAACACCCAAAGGAAAAATTTGGCAGACTCCAAAACCCACTGAGAAAGCCGAAATGGTGAAACAAAGAAGCAAGTCCCAAATGAAAGAACAAAATAATTTGACAAAAGATGAAAGAATTGAAAGGGAATTGAGCAAGATATCAGAGGGAGAGTTCAGGGTAATAATCATGAGGAAGCTCAACATCATGAGTAAAGATATAGAAGAATTGAAAACCAACCAATTGGAATTGAAGAATGACATAGCAGAAATAAAGAACACATTGGGCCCTGGCCGATTTGGCTCAGCAGTTAGAGTATTGGCCCATGGACCAATGAGTTGAGTGTTTGATTCTGGCCAAGGGCACATACCTCAGTTGTAATTCATCCCTGGCCCTGGTTGGGGTTGTGCGGGAGGCAGCCACTTGATGTATCCTTCGTTCTATCTGAACAAAAATGGAAAAATGTCCTCAGGTGAGGATTAAAAAAGAACATACTGGAAGGAATAACCAGCAGAGTAGAGGAGGCTGAGGATCAGATCAACGAATTAGAAGACAGGGTAGAAAAAAATTGCCCAATCAGACAACCAAAAAGAAAAAACAATTAAAAAACAGGAAGACAGCCTAAGAGAACTGGGGGACAATATATGAAATATACAACAGCTGCATCATAGGAGTTCCAGAAGAAGAAGAAAATGAGCAAGGGTTAGAGAATATATTTGAAGAAATAGTGACAGAAAACTTCCCTAACTTGGTGAAGGAAAAAGGCATACAAGTACAAGAAGCACACAGAGCCCCAAGTAAGAAGAACCCAAACAGGCCCACACCAAGACACATAATAATTAAAATGCCAAAAATTAAGGACAAAGAGAGAATCCTAAAGGCAGCAAGAGATAAGCAACAGGTTACCTACAAAGGAACCCCCATAAGGCTATCAGCTGACTTCTCAACAGAAACATACAGGCCGGAAGGGAATGGCATGAAGTAATCAAGGTAATGAAAAACAAGGATCTGAATCCAAAACTACTCTATCCAGCAAGGCTATCATTCAAAATAGAAGGTGAAATAAAGAGTTTCCCAGACCAAAAAAAAAAAAAAAAAAAGGCTAAGGGAATATATTACCACAAACCTGCACTGCAAGAAATGCTAAAAGGACTGCTGTAATTAGAAGAAATAGTAAGAAAAATATAATTACAATAAACAAATTGTTAATAAATAAGTACGCATCAATAATAACCTTAAATGTAAATGGATTAAATGCTCAGATAAAAAGATAGAGTAGCTGATTGGATAAGAAAGCATGACTCATATATATGTTGTTTACAAGAGACCCACCTCACAACAAAAGACTCACATAGGTTGAAAGTGAAGGGATGGAAAAAAAATCTTCCAAGCAAACGGAAAGGAAAAAAGAGCTGGGGTAGCAATACTCATATCAGATAAAATAGACTTATAAATGAAGGCCATAACTAGAAACAAAGAAGGCCATTACATAATATTGAAAGGATCTATCCAACAGGAAGACATAACCTTGGTAAACATATATGCACCCAATATAGGAACACCAAAATATATTACAAAACTTCTGGAGGACTTCAAGAGAAATCAATAGCAATACAATCATAGCAGGGGACTTCAACACCCCACTGATATCACTGGATAGATCTTCTAGACAAAAAATTAACAAGGCTACAGAGACTTTAAATGATGCACTAGATCAAATGGACTTAATAGATATCTACAGAGAATCACACCCCAAAACTACAGAATTCACATTCTTCTCAAGTGCACATGGGACATTCTCAAAGTTAGACCACATGTTAGGACACAAACTAAGTCTCTACAAGTTCAAGAAGACTGAAATAATATCAAGCATCTTCTCAGATCACAATAGCATAAAACTAGAAATCAATTACAACAAAAACACGCAAAAGCATTTAAACACATGGAGGCTAAATAGCATGCTATTAAACAATGAATGGGTTACCAAGGAGATCAAGGAAGAAATTAAAAACTTTCTGGAAACCAATGAAAATGAACATACAACAACACAAAATCTGTGGGACACAGCAAAAGTAGTCCTGAGAGGGAAGTTCATAGCACTACAGGCCTACCTCAGGAAACAGGAAAAATTTCAAATCGACTATCTAACCCTACAACTTAAAGAACTAGAAAGCATACAAAAAGAAAAACCCAGAGCAAGTAGAAGGAAAGAAACTATAAAAATCAGAGCAGAAATAAACAACATAGAGACTACAAAAACAATTCAAAAGATCAATGAAACAAAGAGCTGGTTCTTTGAAAAGATAAACAAGATTGACGGACCCTTAGCTAGATTCACCACGAAACAAAGAGAGAGGACCCAAATAAACAAAATCAGAAGTGAAAGAGAAGTAACAACTGGCACCACAGAAATACAAAGGATCGTTACAAATACTATGAATGATTATATGCCAACAAATTGGACAATCTAGTTGAAATGGACACTTTTCTAGAAACACATAGTCTCCCAAAACTGAACTGGGAAGAGATAGAACACTTGAACAGACCAATAGCAACAAAGGAAATCGAAGATGTAATCAAGAATCTCCCAGCAGACAAAGCCCACGCCTGGAGGGCTTCATAGGGGAGTTTTAGC